TCGTTAGCGCCGAGAGAACTTCCCATTTACCCCGTCGTGCAAAAGTTATCTCGCTTATATATCGGCGATCAAAGCGTCGATCCGACTTTCGCGTAAACGCGAAGATATAAATCCGACGCGGAACGACCAATACGCAAGTCTTACGACCGTGGCGAGACGTGCACAGATTACGGGGACGCGTCGCGGAAACGTTCGACGGGATGCATCCATCCGAGAATGTCTACACGCGGATTAATTACGGCGGAATCGCTGTCGCCGCTGCCGCCCCGCGCCACCGTCGGTGCCGTTCGATGCGCCGACGGCTGTGAAGGAATCGCGCGCTCGTGAATCGACCACTGCCACGCTCCACATGAGAACTTTGCTATACTGACTGAACACAGTTTAGCGAACTTTCGCGCGAGAGAGAGATAGTCCCGCGTCGAATAATCGATACCCCCCTCCCCTCCCCCGAGCCTCTGAGCTACTCTGCAGCTACCGAACAACGCCGGGAGAATCTCCTGTGTTTGTGCCAAGGCGAGGCATACATCATCGTCGTGCGAAACGAGCGACGTGCGAATCGAAATGTTTCAAGACGATCGACTTTAAGACTCCATTGACGGACGGCGGCGATGTAATCCGATATTCAACGCGGTCCATTCATTCGCATGGCACCAAGTTCGGGCGCGCCAAGGCGCACTGTTTTCCGATTACGCGAGGGGATTGACTGACAGAATTATCCGCGCCGCGATTGCAACTTTGATGGATAAAGCGGAGCGAGCCACGCGATTTTGCGAGAGCGAACCGCCACGGTCATTTTTGCTCCTTTTATTACGCGCGCGAGAGGTCGAGGATAATAAAAATGAATTATACGGACAGTCGATGTGGAGAATATATGGATGCATGGAGATAGGATGTATTAATAGGATGTGTCCGGTGTGTATTTACGCAAGGACACTTCGTGACACGCGACCCACTGGTTCTATTAGCTCTTCGCGAGCGAGCGTGGCGCAGCCGAGCCATAAAATTAATTACGTAAATGAACGGAGCCTCACTGGAGGAATTTGGCCGCTGAGAGCCGAGCATCGCCGATGCGCACGATTTCACATATAAACGAAGATGTATAAATCGAACTGACGGTTGCGAAGGACCGTAAGAAAATTCTCAAAAAGCAGCATCATTAATAATTCGAATTGCGTGTCTGCGTAAAGTCGCTAAGAACACACTCCGGACTTGATTATAAGCTCTGCAAATTTAATTAAAGTTTTAATTAAGTATTAATTAAGAGAATGAAAAATGAATGACGAAAACGTTTCGATGAAAGACGGAGCAGCTGGTTTATATTTCCAAAGGTATATTTTCATTTCTGTTGTGTGTCCTGGTTCTCATCCTCGGTTTCGCTTCGCGATTTGTTAAATTCTTGCGAGCTTCTACAATTTCGTTATCCGATTACAGAGGGAAATAAAGGGAAATAATGTATGAAGGGAAAGCACGTGCTTCTTGGTCACCCGTGAAAGCTGACTTCACTATCAAGTAATACGGCGCCCTTCGCGCCCCTCGGACACACACATAGTTTTCCCTTATTTAGTCATTTTCGGCCGCGCACGTGAAACGCTCGCCTGGCACGTCGCCAGCAAAAACGGAGCCTGCTCTACCGAGTCGACTTATTTTCACGAGGCCGAAAGCTACGGTTAACATCCGCGGTTCGCGAACCGAAAATAACGCGAACAGTGTAAACATTGGCAAGTTATAATCGATGCAAAGTACCAATTGGAGGGGATTTCGCGCGAGCAAGAGAGAGAAAGAGAGAGAAGAACGGGGAACGAAATTTATTCTATCCCCGTGTATTAATCTTTCAAAAGTAAACCAAAAGTTTAACGAGTATAACACAAGGGTATATCGCTTGGTATATCGTGTGTGCGTTACATATTTGTACACACACTTTGATATGGAATGTCGATATCATCGCGTGAGGGATCAGAGGTAGATTACCATCATTCTCTCTCTCTCTCTCTCTCTCTCTCTCTCTCTCTCCTCTCTTTCCCTCGGAAAAACTTTTAACGTCAAAATGTCACGGGGCGGATGATTTAATTCAGTTCTGAGGCAGCGGGGATCGATTCTCCAGCGAGCACGTGAATCGGACTTCACCTTTGCCGAGATCGCGTGAATCCGTACGATCTTCCGGATGAGTCGCGAAAGCCTGCGGAGCTATCAAATGAATTACAGGCATTAAAGGGCGAGAATTCGGCGTTACTCGACGCCTGCTGCGAACCAGCTGTGAACGAGGCACCGCGCGCGTCGTATCCTCGGCGAGTGGTCAACCGCGGTTTTGTTTGTAAACATTATTTATTCCTGGCGGCGCGAGAGCGAGCTTCGCTGTCGCGCGGGCTGCCGCGAAGGGAGACGCGGGGGAGACGTCGACGCGTCGACGATGGGCAGAGAGGAAGAACAGGGAAGAAATAGGCGGAAGAAGAAGGGAGGGGCAGGAAACGGGGAGAGGTCCTCTCCGGCGGACGTGCGGACGGACGGACGGACGGATGGGACGGATGGTCGGACGGATGGACGGACCGCCGCCGCGCCGTCCGCCGCCACCGCCGCCTCCTCCTCCTCTTCCTCCTCCTCCTCCTCTTCCTCCTCCTCCGTATCGAACCGCACGCAACGCCGCCGGAAATCGCGTAGCGATGAGGAGTGCGTACCTAGGATCCGGAAGAACGATCTTCTTGCTGGCACGGGCGGCTGGCGTGCACTTGCTCTTCTCCATGGCCATCAGGTAGCTGACATCGGCCAGCACCGCCTCGAGGTCCGCCATTTTCCTCGGTGCTCCTTTTCGTCGGTGGGCTGTCGCACGATGATCACCCCCTTGGTCGTCGCCGAGCGGGGTCCTCCTGGCACCTCTTCCTCCACCGCCCGCTCCCACGCTCCCCCTCGTCCGGCACCAGCGGAGAGACACGCAGCCGAGAGCAAGCAGCGCTTCGCTCTGCCACCAGGCGGGTGTGCTCCGCCGTCCGTTTCTCACTGCCGCATATTTTTAGCGTAACGCCGACGACGACGGTGACGACGGTGACGACGCGGGCGACGACGACGGCGACGGCGGGGATGGCATCCCGTGCGATCGAACGGACGACACCACCTCTCGGGTCTTTCTCTCTCTCTCTCTTTCGCGGATTCCCCTTAATTGACAGATCCGAGACGGATGGACGGACGTCGATCGACGGGCGACGATCGTGACGCGGCTGAGCGCGCAGCACCGACTGAGGTTAGTGTCGTGGCAAGGACAACACGATGCTCTCCTCGCGGAGGACAATGCTCTCCTTCTCTCTCACTCCCTTTTCTCCTCCTCCTCTCTCTCACTCTTTCCTTCTCTTCCCGTCGCGCTCTCCTCCTCACCACGTCGATCGTCGTCGAGATTCCACACCTCTGTCTTCCTCTTCTTCCCTCTCAGGATGCTCCGCGTTTTCCTCCTCCTCCTCTTCCTTCTCCTCCTCCTGCTCTCGTTTCACAGTGCCGCCTCTCGCACGTACGGGACTACGCGCCGCGACGAAGCTGCAGGCCTGCCGTCGATCGCGCGAACACTCATTTTACGCGGGGCGGCCGCGATGCCGTTCCCTTCGTCGCGATCGACGTCGCCCGTCGGACTGCCGTCGAGTGACACCAAGTTGCCGCGGTCGCACGCGCGCATTCACTCCCTGTGTGGCGAGACGCACGAAAATTTCAACGCTTGCGAACGGACGCTCGACGACGGGTGCACACGACGAGAGTACAACAACGACAACAACTCACATCAAGCACAAGTTCACAACTGCTCAGCGCTCGCGGCGAAGCGCACCACGTTAACGTACTACTTGCTCGCTCGCGTCCTAATTACCTCAGCGCCCTCTCTTGAATCGAACTCCCTTGAAACCCTCGTCGATAAGGTCTTACCAGCTTATACTTTATTCCTGTAATCCGGCTTACTATAAAACAGTTGGAGCTTGAGAGGTTCGCGTCTTCGCTAAATTCGAGTAATTGCCGATAAGATTGTCACTCTGTAATTTTGTGTATTAATTAAAATTGCTCAATATTATATAGTCATTATGTCAGATGACCTATAATAATTTCTTGAAACGATTTTCTTTTACATTCCAAAATTATTCTTAATTTTTTATCGTGAAGGCGAGGATATTTTTTATATATATTTGGCGTATTTTTTTTTAAGTTTTTTTGACAGTAAAATAGAGAGTTTAATATTATTTAAAATTTTCGTTGCTATAAGTTAATGTCTAATTAATTATAATTATATTTGTTTGGATTTTGGATGTTTGGTATATATGTATATACATATACGCATCTGCGTTCGATGATTCCTTTTTAATTAACAATTATATAGATATTTATTGAAGGTATAATAAATATATATAGCGGAATGTGTGTAATAAGTACAATATGATAATAATAATAATAAATATTTCAATTTTCTCATCAAATCAATTTTTCATTCGAGCAATAAACATGCACTTTCATTTAAATGCAATTTGTTGTCATTTACGTGTTTGAAACCCTGATATATATATGCGCCTTTTCATTATACATTCTACTTGTAATGAGGAAATGGCTTTCATTTATACGGGCCAATGACACCGTTGTTGCTCATCGGAAAACGATGAGATCCGCGCTTTACGCAAAATTGATCGAATCGATTGCGCTCATTGTTGTACATGCCATTCGTATTCCAAATCGCATTATGTTGACTGTGTGATAGCGAAAGAGCAATTGTATCGCACGCACATCATGTAATTTAAAATCTAGACATTTAAAGGTTTTAAAATTACATTAAAGCGCTGTGAAAAGTGGAATAAAAGTCAAATGAGATAGAATAATCGAACAAAAGAGTAAAAAAAAAATAATTGAACAAAAAAATCGATTTAAAGGATAAAAATAATTTTGAGATAAGACAGAATACAAATTAATATTGGAGAGATACATATATAAATTGCAACTGTGTAATTTAAGTAATTATATCTAAATATGTAGAAAGTATAAATTTCATTCTTTATCTCATTTGAAATTTGAATACCTTGCGTAATTTATATACTGGATTTTATATTTGCACCTCTATTCCGAGAGTTTCTCCATGTAGCATCGAAGATACTAAGCTCATAAAATAAAATGTCGACAATTTTTATTACACTTACTTTGCAAGTCATTGAGAAATGTGTTATTTGCGTAAGACCGTCATACCCGCAGAGTTGGCAGCATCTATTTCAAATCGACGAATCGACAAGATTTCACTTACGTTTAGTAACAAGAGCATTAACATAATAAAACGAAAGTAAAACAAATGCTTTCAGTCGAAAGTAAGAGCAAAGAAATTTTAAAAAATGAGTATGTGAATCAAATTAAATTAGTCTCCAATTTGTATAAATAACAGTTTGTTTGTAATTGCACTCCTTATTTAAGATTATTTTCCTTGAAAATATTTTCATATACATGCCAAAAGCGGAAGAAAAAAAGTCGATTAAATTGGCGCGTCGGAAGGCACCCTTACGACCAATAAACTACCCTTAGTATCACTTAACGAATTCTAATAGCACCAAAAATGATTTGTACAATTTGTCGAAAAATAGATTTGAAATGATAATTAATTAAAATTAATTGACAGCGATTTATTTTGCGGAATTAAATCTGATTTTTTTAATCGGATATTAATTTAATAATGTTTGATTTTTTCTCTGTGAAATACGCAAGTAAATTATAGATTTATTTTTTCTGGTGAGCTTTTCTTTTTTCTTGCTATAGTTTCTCTTAAATAATTCATCAAAGTTAATGTTAAAATCACGATTCAGGATCTTGCGACGTTTCAAAATGTTCGAGCTATTTTGCAATAACCGTTAATGTATTTCTTTCGAGAAAAATGTCTCTATCGTAACGCGCCATTATCGAATAACGAAATTCCAGAAAGCAACGTGCAATTCCGTTATATCATGTCGTTATTATATGTTCACGAAAGAGTCTTTCATTTTACGAGGCGCCGCGTTAGATGTGTCGTCTTGCTGTATCGATATATGTGCCACTGGCTAACAAGCGTAAACGATGCCAGATAGTTACGTAAAATGAAGGACACGAGTTTCGATGTTCATCGATATAGGCTTCCGATGCCTGTCCAATTCTAATGGCTACACCGTGGGAAACTCTGTTAACGCTGCAACAGTTGGAACATTTCGCGACCGCACTAAATAGCTTTGGGTTAACTCTCAAATAGTTTATTTGATTACAGACTTATGACATTTTCTTCATTCATTTTCTATTTCAAAATAATTCTTACGTCTCCCTTAGATTTTGATTTTCTGAAAATTGATTCTGGTACCAACTTGATGAACTACTTATATATACGTATTTGTACTTTAATTCTCTTGGATCGCCTACGCTTACCTATAATAACGCTAATGATCAGACAATTTAATATTACATCTTTAATGTTACGACAATTATAGTCAGCAAAACCTCTTCGTCTTCGTTTCGCGTCTGTGTCGAGCATTTTTGTAGCGATAACGATGTAGCGACGACAAGAGACAGCGAAGGCCGAATTTGTGTCAACGGTGAGTGAACGTGTCGCACACTTGGGCGGCGCGGAACATCCCAGATAATCGTTTGCCGACCTCGCCATCGTTCTTTTTTCTTCTTTTTTCTCTTTTAACGACAATGCCGGTGAATGGATGGTCGCGCGGTGCTGGTATTTACCCAGCCGCATCCGATCGTTCGATCACACACAGGCATCAGGCGGATGGAATGCCCCTCTGCTCTTCCTCGTCGTATCCGCCGTTGTGGCACGGTGCACGGTGCGATTACTTTTCATTTCGTTACGTGCCCGCCTCGCAGTTGCACACGGGTAAGCCGGCGCTTACGTTCCGGCATTCGGATCTCACTCTCCGCCGGCAGAACGACAGGACGGATGTCCATCGAGAGTGAACCGCGAGCGCAGCTCGATGAGAAGCGCATGAAGCTGAAGCCGCGCAGGAGGTGCTCCGATCTCTAACTCCGGCCGGCGATGCACGTCCCAGCTAAGTGTGACGATCGCTACTAGGAGAGTTCAATGACGGATCGGCGTTTGCACAAGAGCGTGAGTGGAACGTATCCAAAGTACAAAGAGCAAGTGACTAGCAATTAACTCGCAATTTTCAAACGAGTGTTCGGAGAGATCGCGAGTTTGATTTGACTTTTAGTTTTTGCTCGAAGAGTAAATCTTAAAATATATGAATTTATTTATCTTGTCCCGACTTTTTATGTACATTATTTTTCAAACACATCGTTTTTTATTTAGAATGATCTCATAAACGTGTTTCTTGAAACTTCTTCTGCAAAACGTTCAGAATTATATCGTCATAAAAATACGATTTTATATAATTGTAAACTGCTGACATAAATTACAGATTTATTTCTATAAATTTATATTTTGTGATATTCTACATGATTTCTTATATTTCTAATAAAATAAAAATGTAAATCATAGATTCTCTTAAAAAAACATTCTTTTTTACTCGTTTTACTTTTAAACTTATCAGCTGAATGCGCGATTACGTGTCAATGCAAAAATAGCTAAGCTATTATCTTCCGTTATTTTTCATCACTGTTTTAAGACTGAGTATATTAAAGTATATGCCATCATCGATGTCGTATTACACATTCGCATTAATAACGTGTGACTTCTTCACTTAATCAATTATGATTATCAATTACTTAACGCTTATTGTTAGCAATTTTTTTTAAATCTTTACATGCAAGAAAAAGTTCGATTATCAAGAGAACACTAAATTACAATTAAATAGGAAACATTTTTTTTTACTGCGGGATTTAAATGTACACACTCTGTTCGCACTCGACGGAACAATCGCTTTGTGACTTATATAGCAAGCGGATTACAGAAGGATTTATTTCATTGAACACGAATTTCAATAGAATTCGTGCTTTAATAAAAATAAATCCTGCCATAAGCCGCTATCACGCGGATTATGTCGTACGCTTATGTAGCGTTGAGAGATAACGGAACCAAAAGCGCGAGGTAAAAAAAAAAAACACGGCACGCATAACGTTAGGAACTCGCTTATGAGAAACGTTGCATTATCTTTAAACCTTGAAGTTGGCAGGGAGGGACTCCTTAAAGAAGCCGCTAACGCGAATGATCGCGTTTGGCCGCTTTTCCACTCGACAGCAAGTCTATAACGCGACCTAATGTCACGCGTGCCGATTTCAGCTTTTACACGTGATAGCGGCGTTACGTAACGACCGTTTGCACAGGTACATCAGTGACGCGATTAGAAGCAGGAGATGCCGTTCCGCGGGTAGAACAATCTGGGAAATTCCTGAAAAAGCGACTCCTCGCAATTCGGTCTTGCAACCCGTCGTTTGCTGTGCAAACATACAGAATGACGACATTGCGTTTCGCCGGCATAATTTTCGTCTGCAGCCTCGTTTCAAGCACAGGTGAGGTTCAACGTGCGAGTGATGCACCGCGATGAATATAGCCGAAGCATAAAATGCATTGTGAAGTATAAAGAAGAATTCTCTTTTTTCTTCAAAATAATGAATCAAATTTGTTAAAAAATATTTCTATAATAAATAAATAATTAAATTAGAACAATAAATAATTATAGAAATATTATTTTTAAACTGAAAAGAACTTTTAACGAAGAAGTCTAAAAATATCTATATAAAATTTTAAAAATTTTTACTGATATTTTTTTTAGTAAGGTACACTTTTCAATCCGTTATCTTTTATTTCGCTTTTAACTATAAGTTCGACTAGCCGCAATACGTGTTTAGACAGTTGTCCGCGTCTGTGAATTGCACATACAATCGTGTTCTTTATCTAGCATCAGCGATAGTACGTAGTAGCATTGTTTAGCCATGACACAAGGCTGCAGTTTAACTGCAGCACGCATTTTACAAAGCGCGCACCTATGCCCTTCAGGTTGGTGTCAGAGTTGTCAGGATCAAGATACGGGATGGGAAAAGATCGCTGGTGCCAAGCCAGCAAACGCTGTTGAGACTGTAATTTACAGAAACGGCGTTACGTCCATAGGTAACAACGGTATCATCGCGCCTTGCTTCGACAGGTGATTCATCGATTAATTATCTTCCTCTCTTTCCTGTACATTTTGCAACCATGTTCCAACAAATAAATTACTTAGTTATTCCAGGAAGTCTGATATTATAAGTAAATGCACATTTAAATACAGTCTTTTAGATAAGAGTTATGCGGACATTCGGCGTACGTATAGTTTTGTTTGTTAATCATAGATGCATTTAATAAACTACGTCTATTGTTGTATAAAAATTAAAAGTTATCGCAATATTTTCCGTAAGGAAAATTAATGTTAATTTTTTGTAGAAACTCGAAAGATAAAAAACATATACGTGAGTCACAAACGTATTTTACGATAACGTGGTTCTATTGCGCGGAAAAGTATGTAAATTTATTGTTTAAAAATTCGTCTATTTTAGGTGTAAAAGTCTGAATTGCACAGCTTTCGTAGTCGATTTCTCGAGAAACATATGCTACAGCGTGCAAGCAAAGAGCGAGGAACTCATTCCCGAAACGAATGCCACGCTTTTTCATCAGATCTGTATGACGGGTAAGAACTATGTTTTTTATTGTGGTATAAAGTAATATATAGTATTACAAAAATATATTACAATAGAGTTCCGTTTATTCGAACATGTTAAGGGACAAGACAGTTCCGACAACCGAATTCAGATAATAGAGGTTCACTTATTAGTATAGATAATAGAAGCTGACGTACTTATTAGTTCCGATAATAGGAGCTGACGTTTAGGAAACTGAAGTCGAGCACATCAAGCTCTTATTATTCGAATGATTCGGATAATAAGAGCTCAGCTATGAAATCGTATAAATAGAATGCGGATAAACGGGGCATTTATTTCTACTACATTGTTTAATTTATCTGAAATTTTTCTGTATAGAATTTAAAACAAACTACATACAAATTTGAAATTATTTAATAAAAGAAAATCTAAAGTATTGAAATAAATTTTCACTCTTATTCAATTTTTACTCTTAATCAATATAATTTCATTTCTTATTCTCACACAATTAAATAGAGGAAAATTTTGGGAATAATGTTTCCGGAAATGTAATCTTTTAAAATTCTTTACGTTTGTGTTTTTAGTCTCTCCGAGCTGCAAAGAACAGAGACTCTGGCAAGTGGAAAGAACCTTGGGAGCCGTTTTAAAAGAGGGACAGTCCGGCTGGTATCATGAAGCATTACGAAGAAGCGAGTGTTACGAGAGGTGTCTGCAAGCAGGTAATGCAAACTAGTCTCATGGATTGATAAATCGAAATTTTCAAGAAACTACGAGCTATGTATAAACGAATAATCCTAGGGGACGACTGTGCATCCGCGCAATTTCGTACGGGCGAACCTTTGTCGATCGACAATACCATTGGTACGTGTTCGTTGTCGAAACTCGAAAGGGGTACCAGACCGCAAGCCTACAGATCGTCGATGTATCGGGACGAGTATCTACAGGATCAGTGCCATAACATATGTGAGTCGAATAAATCAATCTACCTTTCTGTAAGCCGCAAGATCTAGCTGCATTCGAGCTGCATTTGAATTTAACTTGTGTTGGTACAGCGAAGAAGAGCTATTGTTCCTACGCCGAATATCGAAACGTATCATTGCCATACTCGGACGTGGTGTTACCGGGACTGGATGTGAAGCAGGTATATCATTCCTTGTATTTCCTACCATTTTTGCGAACGATCTGATTCACTATCTGTTACTTAATTATGATTTTTTTTTTAGTGCGAGGAGAGATGTGATCGCAGCGTGGATGGTTTCATATGCAGAGCTTATACAATTGATTATTCGGAGGAGAGACCGCTCTGCCTGCTGCATTCCGACAGCACAATCGGTCTTGGAGTCAGTTCGCTGGTTACGAGACCTAATGTAATCTACAAGGAGCAAGAGCCTTGTCTAGATGGTACGTATGCAATATTACAATGTGGATATAGTTTTACAAACTTTGGCCATAAAATTTCAAGACCGAATAAAAATCGGCGCGTGATTAAAAAAAATATAAAGACTGAATATATAAAATTATTAGTCATAAGATCTCGTTTTTTTAGATAACTGAAAAAATATTTATTTATTTTATGTTACACACGTGTATTGATCGCTGTGCACTGATAATTTATTTATCAAAGTCTACGCGTATGAAGTTAGCATACCAACATTAAAATTTTGATTAGAGTTCCCGCTTTACTTTAAGAGCTTAATTAAAGAGACGAAGAGTTCCCTGTAACAAGCCGTTCAAAACTATTTGATCATGAATTTTAATAAGAAGTTAGCATCCCATTTTTTAAATTTAAATTAAAAATTGTTATTAAGCAGAACTGTTGTTATAAATTAAATAGAAAACTCTTTGTTTTTTTTCAAAATAAAGCGGGAACTCTAATCAGAGCTACGGAATTTTTATGTTGGGGTGCTAACATCACACACACGCAAAGTCTACATAAATTTTATTGTCTAACATTTTCCATACTATAGCACTGCATTTTGTTTCTTAGTGAAAGTGGAGTGTGGCGAGTCAACTATGACGATCATACTAACCACTGCGGAGCCCTTCATAGGACGAATGTACGCGAGTGGATACGGAGACATTTCGACCTGCAGCGTTAACGGTGTTGGGAGAAACGTCACGATATTGACACTGCCGCTGCCAAAGAAGGAAGATATTGACAAGCCCAAAATCGCGTGCGGCCTTACACCCGCGTTTTCCATCGACAATGAAAATCTGTACTTGCTTTCAAAATTCTCTAATTGAATCGATTGACTAATTTTGAATCGTTATCATGAGATAAGGAAAATATAAAAAAATTACCGGCCGAATTTACGGTTGATCTCACTATGTGATTGGATGTTATTCTTGCAGGACGCACACGTTAATTTGGGCCATCATTGTGATACAGTACAATCCGATCATTCAGCGATTGGGAGACCAGTCCGTGAGAGTCGGATGCTCCTTAGATAGCGGTCTTCCGGGACCAAGAAACGTGACCGTTCATTCGAATTTCTCTTTCCCGGATCCAAAGTAAGTCTAGCTTTTCTTCGTATAGGACGGCGCTCACAATTTTTGTTTTTTCAAACGAATGACGTTGTTCACTTTATAATCTAATTTGCCGTCTGTTGCAAAACTGTATCAGTATACTGTGACACGTGTCCCCGATATTCCGGCTCTGGTTACTCTCTTGTAGCGCAGGCGTACCGCCGGTTGGGTCAATTGTAGTGAACGTATCGTCCGAGGTGCCAGTGGTGACGATGAGGATCCTCAACGAGAACAATACGGACGCTATCGTTACCCAGTTGGGTCAGAAGCTAACGCTCAGAATTGAAATTCGACCCGTAAACGGTGAATATCTTTTATGCGGCATTTGCATGAGATATTGTCAGTTTATAGTCTCTCTTTCACCGCTAAACTTTCAATTCAAGGAACTTTCCTTAATAATTGTGTTAAAGTTAATAATGTTTTAATTAAGAGATATTCAAAATTAACTTTTTTTGCAAATTTAATTTTACCTGCATGAAATATTATTTTATTTTAAAAGCAAAAAAAAAATAATAGAATATAATTCGCTTTGACAGGAACTTACGATATCGCAGCTGGACATCTTGTAGCTAGTAGTGAAACCGGAGAATCTTCGTATCTTCTTCTCGACGAAATTGGATGTCCGACGGATCCGACAACTTTTCCCGCGCTATTGAAAGATCCAATCGACAACCGTTCTTTGATCTCAACATTTTCCGCCTTCAAATTTCCCGACAGTCAAATCGTCCGATTCAACGTCATCGTTAGATTTTGTATCGAGGAATGTGACCCGGTAAACTATTATTCTTTTTAATATATAATATTTTAATAAATAATATTTTAATATTATTTTTATGTAATTCCTTAAGTCGTGATTGTATTGAGAGATATAATATTAAGATATGAGATAAAAGAATAATTAATGACATTTCTTAAATAAAGATTAATGAAAATTAATTTACCATCGTTGTATAAATAAGTTATATTAATTTAAAAGTGAGAAAATTAACAATTTATGATCGCTTTGAAGGCCATATGCAGAGGAGGACAGCCCTCGTGGGGTAGGAAGCGACGGTCGATCGAGGAGCCGGTCACCGCCGAGGTAACAGAAATTTTCAGAAACCTCACCCCCGCGGAATTACCGTTGCAACTATCTATCGTCGTTCAAAGTCCAGTGATAACGGCGGGCCATTTAACCAGAGAAAAACCTGATACGCTTTTGATCACCGAAAGTGAGTTTAATAATCGGCATTCGGTATCGCTATCGTCCTTCAAGCATCGGTTTTAAAAATTCGATTTTTGCACTTCTAAACTCTATATATAGTAAAATCACGACAGAGCTGACGGAGTTACACGAGTCCTGTTTCTTCTTTCAGACTCGGACAACCTTTTTTGCGTAGACGCGAGTCTAGCTCTGGGTCTTCTGATCTTTTGGTTAATAATTCAGATTGTACTCACCGCCGGTTGCATTATAGCAGTTCGTCGCTACAGAAAAATGGCCGTAGAGGCTGAAGAGGATAGAGCTGAGATATTGGCGAGACATCTTTACGGGATTCACGGAGGAAACTTTGAAGTCGCACGAAGAGTCAGGTGGGCCGACCGTAACGATTCCTCGATCGGATGATGGATTCTTTTTCCCCTTTTTCTCAAACACAAAGACAATTTTGTATAGATTGGTAAAAAAAAAGTTTTAAATAAAATTGAAAAAGTTATTACATCTTTCATAGTAATATAATTTCTAAGTCATAAAAAATCGTAAAGTGAAATAATCAGTAGTTACTTTTGGCTTTAATAAAATACTTTTTTTATTTGTATAATAATAGGGAATTTTTCTCAATTTGTTTTTTTTTAAGAAATTCGAGTCAGTAATTTTATTTGAAAAAAATTAAGCTTTTAGAAAAGAAATAATCTTTCGCAGGTGTATCTCTTTTTTAAAAGCTTAACTATTTTATTTTATACATATATATATCTACATTAATAATTTAAATACTGTAAAGTATGTTTATATAATTTGTTTGATGTTAATAACATTAATTCTAAAATCATTCAACATAAAAAGGCTAAAGTGAAAATAAAGTCAATAAGCTCGCTTAAAAAATAATAAATAAATATATTTGTTACATATTATGCACAGGGAGTGTGTAAATGTGTTAATTTTTCTTAGTTTAACTTATTAATGTTTATTTTTCTTTGTACAATCTTTCATTAAAACCATTTATTACTATGAACTGTATTATAATGGAAATTATCCAATTCTGCCTGTTGAACAGCGTCCATAATGATTTAATCTCACGTCTGTAAATATAAAATATTGTATGTTAAGCATTTTAATGTGTTTGCGATCGCACTGCCTTATTCTGTAATTACATGTAATAATGAGTTTTTTATCATTTATATATATTTTATATAGGGCAAAAAACTGTTAAATGTATAAATATGTCCGATAAATATTTTCTATTGCAAAATCATTAATACTAGAAAAATCGAGAATATTTGATTTTCCTTCTATCTTGTGTGCTAAAAGAAAGAATTTTGTTATCTAATTTTAGGTGTTTTATTAGAAAATATTAAAACAACCGATAGCTCGATTATTCTAGCATTAAGACAAAAAAATTTTTCTTCGGGATCATTGTTACTCTAATAGAAAGCTTGTTTCATGTTGTTATCACGCATATATCTTTTATATAGTAAAATAAATGCAACTGTTAAATATAGTGAACCTTTTATCTTTTTCTATAAAGTATCTTACCTTTTCCACAACGTTGCGCGCAACCCAGCCCTCCCGGATTAGTATAATCAGTGTTATCCGTACCACAAACAGGATTATATTCGTTCGTCACCTATGGTAAGAATGCTGCTATAAGTTCAATATTAAAATTGTTTTTCAGTAACAGATGTAAGATGTATTTATAAAATTTTCTTTCAGACTAAAAGTTGCTTTGAATAAAGTTACGTTGATTTTAATAAGGAAAAAAATTATAATCACCGGGCAATTCGTCACGCATCTGTTATACTGATCATCAGTTTGAGTAGTAGTTGTTGTTGTGGATGTTGATGTAATAGTAGACGCGGTAGTTGTCGTAGTTGTGGATGTTGATGTAATTCTTTGTTCTCCATTGGATTGCTCGGTAGCCACTGGACCGTCAAAGACGAAGCCATCTACCTGAACCATCTCTGCCTGAGCCACAGCTACGTCATCCGAATTCTAACAATGTATATTGAATTAGATATCTATTAAACCTCGATCTCTAAATGCTTTTTTCGAAAATACAGAAATTATTACTTTCAACAAAATTATACGTAAAAACTTTATGATATATCGAGAATATGTTTCAAAATATTAAAATAATTAAATGTTAAAATATAAACAAATGATTCTATTTCTTAATATTACAACATATATTAAATGACTCGAATCGTAAATATTCCCCATTTGTTTCTCCTACGAAATATCTCATAACAGAATATTTACTTACTTGTGGAAACGCGGTGATGAGAAGCGGCGATGCAGCAACTGTAAGAATTATTCAGCACAACTAATTGTGAGAAATTAGAACTAATTGATGTATGATACATAACACTTCGCGTCATGCACAAAATATTTGAAATAGCTTTCTTACTCAACAATAACAAGTGAAACGACATTTTGTTAAAATTTGCCCGATAAGAGATCAGCTAATGTTATATGATCTCTCATACAGCCAAGATGTACTGAACAGAAGTTCGACGATCTACTGTTTGACAGTATTAGTTGCGCGTCCTTTTATAGAACCGGTTGCCAACCAGCAATTCTATCTACAATGTGTGTAAGCACATGTATGAGCGAACAGGAATTCCCCAATAGTGTAATCTCAATAATTCATTGCATATATGCTAATTTTTAACCTTTTTTTTGTTGAAAATAAAAGATAAAAAACATTAAGGTGAATTAATTTAGAATAAAAAAGATTTTTTTAATGTAAGTAATATTTATATAATGTATTGAAATTCTTTACTAACAAAAAGTTATATAAGTAATATCATCAGAATATTGCGAGTACAAAAGTTTATCAGTACGGTAACTATTATTACATCATAGGTGTGTGTGTATATATGTATATATATATATATACAGGGTGTCTCAGAATAGGTGTATGACCGTTCATGGGTAGATAGAATGGACTAAACTGAATCGAAAAGTCCTCTACCATTTTGTAAAATTCGCAATATTTAACGAGATATTAATTTTTGAATATCGCCGAATGAGCGAGTATTCGTTCAGCGAGTCCGGCCCACCGCCAATACTAGCGCGCGTCCATCGAGCGCGGTTGCCTAGCGCGAGACGCGGCGAGCGGGGAATTGTTTACAGCGAAAATGGCTGTGCGTTCGAGCGGCTCATGGACGGTCGCGCGCTAGTATTGGCGGTGGGCCGGACTC